ATCGGTAAAATATGGGTGTTCACTCAAGATGGAAAATTTCCTATTGGGACGCGAGCTAGGATGAGGCGAGGCTGGATGCGGAAACAAACCCTCGGTGATCTCGGTGCGACGTGCATGGAGGTTGCCCGCTTTCTTCCAGGGCTCGGCTGCTCGGCAGGTGAAAAAAATCAGCTATGCAGCAGGGATGGTTCGACCAGTGTGGTTCTTTCCGTGAGCAAACAATTGTTTTTGTTGGCCCACCGACAAAAGTCATCTTCAACCACCAATTAAAAGGTTTTTGGGAGCAGTAAGATAGGGTCTTATTTTTTCGGGGAGGGATTGAAATGGTTGTTCGAACATGCTTTTCTGATTGTCATCCCTAGTGTGGTAAACCCGATCATAAGCTATCTCAGTAACCAAGCGTTTCGAGACAACTATAAATCTACGTATACCCAATAGTAAACTCCATTTCGGGGATGGTGTGTGGCATTTATTTCAGGAGTTTGTTCAGGCCATTGGTGATTTCATGGTGATTTCATGGTGATTTCATGGGTTTACCACATGATCCGCATCATGAGATCGACCCACTCCCATCTCACCAAGATCCTTTAGACCTGCAGCGCCTTGAATCCTGCCAGATGGCAGACATGGCAGACCATCCCGACTGGCCAAAAAGCATGAAAATTGGGGGAAAATCAATGATCATTATCATAATATATCATAATCATATATATATATACAGTAATCATCATTGTCATAATCATGATATCATAATCATTTAATCATTCTCGGTTCATTTTGGAGAAAATCAAGAGATGGGGTCACAAGAGCAGCTGGATTTTTTCGTTTACCCGAGCCCTGCAGCAGTTGTAAACCTGGTGATGTTGCGATGTTGCGGTGGCTGTGCATATCCGTACTCATGGTATGCAGGTAATGTATGGTATGCAATGTATATAGTGTGTAGTGTGTGTGTGTGTGGCATGTAAAGAAAAAAGTATGTCATGTGTGGTATCCATGTACATACGTATATGTATCTATGTACTCATGCAGGTAGGTATGTATCTATGTGGATTTGTCTGAGGTCTGAGGTAGCCTTAAAATATCTTAAACTCCCAGGGTTGTCATCATGGCAACTGCCACACAGTGGTCCCTGCAAGGGGGTGCCCCCGAGTTTTTTTAGTGGGTTTATAAAGCCGGTGAACTATAGATATACTAAACATCAATAGGCCCGAACGGCAAACTTAGTTCCCAACTTTGCTAACAAAATTCCATTCAATCCCATTTAAAATCCATGACATCACATTAAATCACATGAAATCACCATTTTGACTGGTCAAATACCTCTAATCTTTTCTTATGGCAGCACCGCAACAAACCGCGAGTTCGTTCCGCTAGGCACCCCTGACGCATCTGCCAAATCCTTCAGCTTCACCTCGCGAAACGCCAAGATCAGCTGACCCAGCTCCCGACCTCGGCGGCTGATTTTTCACCACCAGCTGTGAAAGAACAAAAGGGACCCAAATGTCAATGGATTGGTTTAAGGGAAAATCGAAACCGGAAACCATAGATTTTCCCATTAAGATCATGGGGCTTTCCTGTAAATTTTCCCTTAAACCAATCCATTGAAAATGGCTGAATTCTATGGTTTATGGTAGGTATAACGAACTAATTAATGGTGGTAAAAAATGTGGTTATAATGGTTTATTTTCACCAACTTGGGGCAGGGAAATTTGTACAGGATGGGGCCCCCAAGATAGCTAAGTTGCCTTATAAATGGCTGAATTCTATGGTTTATGGTAGATATAACGAACTAGTTAATGGGGGTTATATATATAATGGTTTATAAACCAACTTGGAACTGGGGGGCACCATCCTGTAAGAACTATTAATTTTAACCATATGGAGGTTTCCATAATGGGGATACCCCAATAGCTGGATGGTTTATAATGTAAAATCCTATCAAAATGGATGAATTAGGGGTACCACCATTTCAGGAAACCCGCAAATGTGTAAGTTATAACCTGTATCATGAAATAGCCGCTTAGACTTTCATCACCACAACCTGTATCACCAAATAAGTCTAACTGGTTGGTGGTATACCCACCCCTCTGAAAAATATGAAAGTCAGTTGCGGTTACTATTCCCAATATATTCGAAAGTCATAAAGTTCGTGTTCCAAACCACCAATCAGTCATAATATATCATAATCATATAATCATTATCATCATTGTCACAATCATTCTCGGTTCATGTTGGAGAAAAATCCATCATCACCACAACCTGTATCACCAAATAAGTCTATAACCTGATGAGTTTCATAGGGAAGATCGAAGCTTAATGTGTCCCAACGGTTTTTCTCCATCGGTTCGGTTTGGTGAACTGCGAAACATGTCGTCATGTCGTATGTCGCGAGCCACCGAAGCCCCAACCCATCTTTGGACCGAACTAACATAGCAACCATGGCGAACAATGGAATACCCCAGCCAAAAACAAAGACATGAACTAACTGGGCTAGTATGGTTTATGGATGATTATGGTGTGTTCATATATATATATAACATATAATTATAAACATACATGTTATACATAGTGAATCGGCTTTATAAACCAACAACGGACATACCTTGGGGGCACCACCTTGTACATAGCACCATCACAGGATTTCTATGGATCTCTAAGAGGGTCCAAGCTGCAAAAGGTTCGTTGCCCCAACTGCCAAGCGGATCCCGGTTGATCTTCGTTCAAGCGCACCGGCGACGGTGGCAGGGCCTCCCAGGATTGTCAAAACTCCCAGGTCGGGGATGAAAAATCCGACCAAAAGACGAAGAAACGAGCAACTTCTACCCGGCCTGGTAAACTGTTACATAACTATACGGAAAGATCCACCATGCTATTAATGGGTAAATCCACTATGTTATTATTATGGCAATTTTCAATAGCAAACTGTTGGTTTACCAGAGGGTAATCATAAAGAGATCAATAAGAGAACATGGGGATAAGATCGGATAAAACATGATGAACTCTGAATTTCATTCCAGCAGATTTCACCGGTCATGAATGTCATGAAATTCATCTATGCTTCTTGTGCTGGAAAATCCATATCCAAACATCAAACATCTCCACTGCTTGCACTTCTCCAGTACCCTCTGGTAATTTAACATAGCTATTGAAAATGACCATTTATAGTGAGTTTCCCATTAAAAATGGTGATTTTCCATAGCTATGTTAGTTTACCAGAGGGTAGGCTGCTTCTTTTGCACTGGATTGGTCACACCTTTTCACACGGCCCTCCGCCAACATACTGTGGATGGGCCAGCGAAATCCGAATCACCAGGTAATAGGTGGTAAACATCCCATGATATTTATAGGTTTTCGACATTTTTCTACCATCCCAGGTGGTGCAGGATTTCGCTGGCCCATCCACAGTATGTTGTCCAAAAATGGAAGACCCCAGGGCCCCATTGCGGTGAAAGCTTGTTAAATATGGGATCTGGGGGATTCCTATCTTCAGACGAACGCATAAAAAAATGTCTTGTGTTGCCGTTGAAACAAATGCTTTCTTGATATCATTTCACATCATGTCACTTGTCGCTGAGGCAGAAATCCCAACTCCACAGGCACTGCCTAAGAAATCCGCAACCATCCAGCAGCATGGAGCTATTCCCAAATGTGCAATGAATTCCATGTGAACTCAGTGAAACATCCCAAAGCAGCCGGCAAAATGGGCTGTCTAGATAGCACCACTGGTGGTGCCGTCACAGTGCTTCAGATAACCTTCTGGAGTGGCTTCCTGAGGCGGGTAGTTTGCCAAGCCCTTTCCAGGAGAATCCAACTGTTGTAGCTCTTAGATGGGGCTCAAAAAAAAACTTGGAAGTCCAGGTTTTACCATTCCCCTCTGGTAAACTAACATAGCTATGGAAAGATCCACCATGCTATTAATGGGTCATTCCACCATAAATGGCCATTTTCAATAGCTATTTTGACATAACCAGAGGGTAGCTGTTGACACCCACCAAAACGATCCAGTGCAAGCACCAAAAAGACTCACCATGATTAGCACTTGGGAACTTGGATGCTGAGGTTCCCATGTAGATCAATTCTCTGAAAATCTCTGAGTAGAACATAGCTGGTTGGTGGTTGAGCCCTACCCCTCTGAAAAATGATGGACTTCGTCAATGGGAAGGATGACATCCCATATATGAAATGGAAAATAAAATTCATGTTCCAAAGCACCAACCAGATAGTGACATAGTATAACCCCAGAACCATGAAACCATTAGGGATGAAGTGAGATTGCAAGGCATTCTTCGACATCTTTTCTAAGTCGCGTTGCACAGCAAATGTCAGCCACGACAGCATCTGAGTCAGCGGTATAGCACTTTGGCTTGAACCCCAGCAGCCTGACCGAAGAGCGCTGAAACAACAGCACTTGGACTCCATGAAACCAACAAAACCCATGCGTTATAAAATTGAAAACATCCTGAAGAAGTCCTTCAAACAGTGATTTCTCCAAGATGTTTTGAAATAAAGCCTTTGCCAATTCCATGCTGGTCTGGAGACCAGTCAAATGGTCCAACACTACCATTTTTCGACTCATTGAGAATCCACAGATTTGACCGCCAAAAAAGTGCTGCACATACCTTGGGTTATCCCAGGACTTTACCAATTTTTTCACTGGGGAAACCAAAGACATGCCTAATATAACCTGGTTGGTGGTTTCAACCCCTCTGAAAAATATTAGTCAATGGGAAGGATTATCCCAGATATTATGGAAAAATAAAAGATGTTCCAAACTACCAACCAGTAACTATTTGAATGGTTCCCCATGAAACCCTTATCCCTTAACGCCATGCAAGTGCTTTTGCCTCTTGGCCAGCTCCGGGGATTTTGTTCCGCTCCAAATCTCTGTGGTTTGGACTGGCTTGTCACCCGGCGGGTTGAGCAATACCACAATTTGTTGTTCCGAAATTTGTGAGTTTTTCATGACTTCAGTGGATCTCACTGGTTTGGCATCTTTCACACCAATGACGGCCTTCCAAACTGCTCAACAACCGAGTCTGACGTCCTCCAGTCAGCTAGTTCACGCCAAACATTCCAGGCTTGTTCAAGGGAGTGGTGCAGCAAGTCCATTCCTAGGCATGGAAACCCACCAGTAACATCTAAAAACTCAAGACTCCCGCGAATTCGTTTGTTTTTGGGGCTTGTTTTGACCCGGGTCAAAACTACCCTAGTACCCTGGGGTTCACATCAAAATAGCTCGCAGTTTCTGGATATTCCTCACCCCAAGCGTGGAAATAGCTATTGACAAATCCACATTTCTTTTCTTGAAAGCTGGCTGAATTGTCATCATTCCCCAACCTGACAACTTTGATAGATGTTTGATGATATAATCATAACTTATGAACAATTATCCTAACCCAAATTCGAAGATTGGGGATGATTCCCATAGTCCCAACCAAAAATCCTACCCTCTGGTAAACAAACAGTTTGCTATTGAAAATGGTCATAGAAATAATTGATTTACCCATGAAAAAAGGTGGATCTGTCCATAGTTTTTTGTATGTTTACCAGAGGGTAACATATGAAAAATTCCCATCAGTCGGTCCAAGATGCCAGCAATAGCTCTTCTGCCAAGTCAGGCTTCGCAGGCACCTGGTTGAGTTCTGACCGGGCCAACACCGACCACCAACCTTGGGATTTGGATTTTGGGAAATCTATGGAAATTTTAGCAAGAAAAACTGGTTGGTGGTTGACCTACCCCTCTGAAAAAATAGTATTCCCAATATATGGAAAAATAAAAAATATTCCAAACCACCAACCAAGACAAGTTAGGGGCATCATCATTTTCAGATAAACCCATTTCTGTCAGTTCAGAGGACCCGATTTGGGAGGATTATAGAATCACCATCTATGACTGCCCTATGATTTTGGCGAAATCCTGAAAATGTTGAAGTAATGCTGACCTCGCACCTAATTTTTGCAGATATATGGAAAAATGAAAAAGGTTCCAAACCACCAACCAGAAAATGTGGTATTAAACATGATTAAAAAATAACAACATTAGGCCTGAACAAGCAAGAGACAAGATTCAATCAGCAAAGAGAAGTATCTGAACCACCAAAATATTAACAAATTTCAATTACCCTCTGGTTATTTAACATAGCCATGGACAATGGCCCATTTATAGATGGTTCACCTATTAAAAGTGGCGATTTTCCATGGCTATGTTAAATAACCAGAGGGTATCCCAAAAAACATTGCAATTAAGCAAAAACAAGTGAACGCGACCACCAAGCAATATGAGCGGACTAGCAATATATACAGTACTTGATTGATGTGGGGATAAGTCATTATTGTCATTGGCCCAAAATCGGATGCCTCGGAAACACAAAAAGTGTGTCCCTGGGTAACTTTGGATGCACAAATCACGGGAATACTCGACCTTTTCGCCTGAGATCATGAAATCAATGGCTTTTCATATGGATCAAGTCATTGGATACCAGATATCTCTACATGAAAATCCGAGAAAATCAACACAAATACTGGAACACCTTTGGAAAATGCGGTAAAATCCGGACACTCACCGCGAGTCCAAAGAAAATACGCGAACATCTGGAAAAAATCTACGAAATTCTGGAAATAGTTTGGAGAATCCGGCAAAATACGGAAAAAATTGGTAAATCTTGAAAATTCCGACAAAAATCCGGAAAAAAAAATCCAGGAAAAGCCGGAAACAAATGAAATTCGGAAATCCGTTTGGTAAATCCGTCATTTCCGAAACATCTACGGAAAAAAAATCGGGGAACTCCGGAACAATCCGAGAAAATCCAGCGAAATCCGGAACAATCCGAGAAAGTCCGGAAAGGTTCCGGAGAAGTCCAAGTCCGAGAAAAACCCGAAAATCCCAGAACATCCGGTAAAATCAGCAAAACCGAGCGGGTTTTTTCATGCCAAAAAAGTGATCAACGCCGCAGCACGTCTTCCAGGACGTTCATCACGGCGCCACGGGCACCAGTGATGGCCGCACCCCATAGCTCACCTCCGTGGCGACTACCGGAAACCATGGGGAATTTCATGGGGAAACCCATGGGAAAACCGGTGTCGATTTTCCCGACACCAATTCAGTGGGATTTTAAGCAAAAATGATCTGATGTCATATGATTTTTCATGGTCCTGAAGAGTGATTTCATATAATATGATATTATGTATTGTATCTATGAGGGAAAGCCAAGAATAATGCTACCTTATGGTGATTTAATGGAAATTCGTTGGAATATCAGGGGATTCCAATGATATTCCATTGTCTTTAAATGGCCACTAGATGGATCACGAATCCTCATAATTGAATGATTCTATGGCATTTTGGGGGGCTATATACAATATTATACAAGACATTTACGTCCACCTGCGACCCCAAAAAAGATGGAAAGGGGTCAATTCACCAGTATTTTAGTCGGATTTTACTTGACTGTATTTTTTTGGTGATTGCCATGTAATGTATAACTGGTTGGTGGTTGACCTACCCCTCTAAAAAATGATGGAGTTCGTCAGTTGAGATGATGAAAAAATCCCAATATATGAAAAAAATAAAAATGATCCGAACCACCAACCAGTTGTATGTGTATAAAGTTGGTGACTCACTAGACCGGTTGCTGGTTCAGTCACCTCGAAAATACTGCTTCTTCAGATCGTCATCCCTAACATAAACAAAAAACACCAGGTAATCATATGTCATGTTGTTCAACCAGATATCTAAATATGTGTATATATATATGTACCATCTTGTTATTTAACATAGCCATGGAAAAAACCCAAAATAAATGGAGGTTCGTTCGCTGGGAAAATCATCTATTTCTATGGGCCATGGCTTCCATGGCTATGTTAAATAACCAGAGGGTATATATATACTATGATATATATATATATATGTATAATTATGATATTATATGATCCCGGAAGTCAGAACTGCTTAGGAACTGCTTGTGTTTCCCCATTGGCAGTGACGTGCCAAGCCCATCCGCTGCGGTCCTCATGGGATGACGTAAAAACAGTTTGCGAACTGGAAAATCACCATCAAACTAAGAACGGTTTTTATCAGCTATAAATTGATAGTATAATTGTATAGTTAGTATAATGATAGTTTTTTATAGCATAGTATAGTTGATTTATGAAAAATCACCATCAATCTAAGAACGGTAAATCAACGAACTGTTGAGACTAGCAAACTGTTAAATCACTGGGTTTTTATGGTGTAAAAAGTGTAGAAATCTCTCCTTCCTGTACAAAGAGGGATTCAAAATGACGCAAAATGGGAAATGACCTCAAAGTGACTTGAAATGAAAACAAACATAACTGAAATGCGTGAACAATTCCGCAAATTTGAAGAACACCGAATTTGAAAATTCCAGTTTCATATGATTCAAGATATTCAAGGTCCAGAATCGAGAAGATCCCATCAAAATCCCATGTTTGCTCCAAAATTCAGCCCTAAACCCCGGGTGTCACCCGAGTTACATCCAGCTCCGTCCGTGCCTCGTGCCACTGTCGTGGCGTAGACATCCCAGGAGGGCGTGTTGATGGCGCCGGCGGCAGAGACCGGAGAGCCATCACCTGCTGTAGGAATTCGGTAACTAGGTACCCTCTGGTAATTTAACATACGCCGCGGTAAACTAACCATCAACTATATGGTGATATAGGTGGATATAAGATGATATAAGTGATGGCTAATGATATATAATGATATACCCTCTGTGATTCATAGGGATTTAGCCAACAACAAATGGGATATTTATGGGAAATACATGGAAATAGCCTCTGGTAAACGTTTACAGTTTGCGATTGAAAATGGCCATAGAAATAGTGGATTATCTATATATGAATATAATTGAATATATATATAATATACAACATATAGTAGATATATAGTAGATATATAGTAATCACCATTGATATACCCTCTGGTAATTTGTTACACTTTGCGAACTTGGAAAAATGACCCATAGAACTAGTGGATTTACCAGAGGCTAGTTGGCCTAGTTACTGCCTAGTTGGCGGACAGCCATGTGGTTTTTAAGCATGTTTTATAACGAAATTTATTGTGGTTTGATGACTTTTTTTATCACTTTCATAATTATATGGGTGGGGTGGGGTGGGGTAATAACGTCACTTGCACTGCGTATGCTACGTTGATCATGGGGTGGGGGTGGGGTGCAATGGGACAATCAAGTCACTTGCACTGCGTGCTCTACTGATGCTACGTTGATCATGGGGTGGGGTGGGGCAATAACTTGTGCACCCTACGGATGCCCCTCGCCGTCGCCTACGGTGCGCATGCTACGGTTGCTACGCTGTCACCACTTGTGCATGCGGTAGTTCACCAAGTAAAAAAAAATCACGGCCGCACGTCCTCTCATTTGGAAGAATGTACCCTCTGGTAAACTGTTACATAGCTATTGAAAATCACCGTTTTTAACGGGAAAAACCACTATTTCTATGGTCATTTTCAATAGCTATTTTGACATAACCAGAGGGTATCAAACATTGCAGGCACCCAAGTTTTAGACGTTTTAGATGGAAGCTGGCAAAGTTTCAAGACCTTTTTGCCAACACATATGGGTATGGGTCAAAATTAGGTACCCCAACAATTGGATGGTTAATGGTCCCCTAGGTCTTCCATTTTGACCCACATCCATATGTACATCAAGTGCAAAGAGAAAGGTCACAGCAAGATGCACCTCAATGTTCCTCGCAATGTGGGCTTGCAGACAAAGTCTTCAGTATCCCACGCCAAAGGATTTTGTTGAAAAACTTGAAGAATTGCTGTGATGAAGAACTTCGATGGAAAATGGCGCTGGGCAAATGTAGTTGCATCAATTTCAAAAACCTTCAAAATCAACTCCTCGCTGAGTTAAAACTACCAATTTGGCAACTTCTGCCTGTAACAGCCGCATGGAAAAGCACAAAAGATTGCTCCATGTGAAAACCATAGGAACAGCGCACTGGGAATAGTCACCAAGCACATTGAATGTAACGAAACGACACGGCCTTCTATGCGCCGTGGTCCTAGTTAGGTAGTTAGGTAGCTAGCTAGTTGCTTACTTACTTGCCTCCTTGTTTTCTTGCTTACCTACTTGGTTAGATACTTAGCTAGTTACTGACTTATTACCTAGTTGGTTAATTACTTAAAGACTTAGTTAGCTAGTTGTACATACTATACTTCTGTGGATATGTATATATGTGCTATTTTTCTAACCCATCTTCACCTCTCATTTTATGTTGCTGGCTCAAGGCCTTCGGCGCCAACATGGCCAACATGGCCAAATCACCAACGAAAATCGCTGCGTGGATGCCGGGGGGCGATTCACCACAAATGGAATGATTGAAATTTTAGGAATTGGATTACCCGGCCTGGTAAACACTGGTGATAGTTAATGGTGATTAATGGTGATTAATGGTGATTAATGGTGATTAATGGTGATGGTAAGTTTCTACCATCTGGTTATTTAACATAGCCATGGAAAATCCCTTATAAATGGAGGTTTATAGCTGGGAAAATCATCTATAAATGGCAATTGGATTACCCTCTGGTAAACATACAGTTAAAGCTATTGAAAATGCCCATAGAAATAGTGGATTTACCCAGCTATATAGCATGGTGGATCTTTCCATAGTTGTGTAACAGTTTACCAGAGGGTACTATAAAAAGTTTCTAATTCGAAATTAAACTTTCACCACAATTTTAGGATTACTGTAAACTGTAAAGAGTTTCCCACTCTGAAAGTCCCCAATGTTGTCCCATATATAACATGGCCGCTGTTTCTCAACTGTTTCTTGCCAGGGTCTAATGGAATGCCACACGTAGACGTGGGCGGCACCTGCTTTGAGAACCTCTTCCGGATACTTGTACCAGCCTCAGAGAGCCATGGCTATCGGAAGTCATGCTTCAGCTCCATGTGGCGCTACGGTAGCTATGCTCAGGTTCTTCAAACGATAATTACGAATGCTGATACTATGGAGATATACAAAAAGGGTGATATTATGATATTACCCTCTGGTAATTTAACAGAGCTGTATAAAATCGACCTTTTGAATAGATCAGTGTAATAGATCAATTTTTGAAAATGGCCCATTTTTGAATAGCTGAATAGATCAATTATCCAACCAAATGGGCAATTTTTCACATGCTACCAGAGATATCTCTGGGATAGCCCTGCTCGACCAAGTCACCGGGTTGTCCAGTATAGGTGGTATCGGCATACCTGGCGTCCCCGCTGGCATCGGAGTCGCAAAAAAAACACACCAGTGGCAAGCCAGTTTGAAACTGGCATGAAACAGAATTCAAGAATATACAAAAACGAACTACACTTGAAATAATTGTTCAGTTTCTATGTGTGTATGTATATATATATATTATATTATATATTATATTATATATATATACATATATATATATATCAACACCAACCATGGCTGTTTTCAGATCATTCAAACTCACTCAAACTCACCTCCCGATCATCCAGTGAAATCCGGTCGAGGGGCTGCCAGTAGGTCGTCGCATTACAGCCCTCATTGCATGCCACGGCTAGGCCACCCGCGAACCAGTTGACGTTGGGCATCCAGTATTCGCTGAAGAAAATGGGAATTCCACCCAATTTCTGCGCATTCCTGACTTGACATGAAATTGATGCGCCGTGATTGTTGAAACTAGGAAAAATCAATCCCCAACGTGAAATAATTCCAGGTGTTTTGGAGTTTTCCTGAGCTCAAACTGTGGGAGTTGGGGATGAATTTGGGAGCTTATGGCATTGTAAATAGCGAGGTATAATATGTCCTTTTTTATGTTGATATAAATGTGTATGTATATATATATATATATTGAGTGAGTATACATAGATGTAATATCCATAGATGTAATATCCATAGATGGTGCATACTTGTGCATATATGACGAATACATTATATGCATATATAATATATATATATATATATTAATATATTACATGTGTTGCAAAACAATCAGGAAAAAAACAAACCTGGTGCATGCATTGTAAAAATCGCCCTTCATTGGGTCATACTTGTTGGTCAATCGAGATGTTTAACCAAAAACAATTGGGAGTTCAATTTGAACTCTGAAAATATGGTATCGCCAAATCCCATGGTGGCTATTGTCCCACTGGGTCCCACTATCCACAAGTTAGGGGCATCATGTTCAGATAAACCCATTTCTGCCAGTTCAGTGGACCCGATTTGAAAGGATTTGGTGGGAGGAGTGTAGAATCAGCATCTATGATTGCCCTATGATTTTGGCGAAATCCTGAAAATGTTGAAGTAATGTGGGAAAGCCAATGCCATAAACCTACCATTTGGGGATGGTTTATACCACATATATGGCGCTTTTGGGGTTGATTCTTGGGTTTACACTCCAGTAAATTAACATAGACCCTGCCAGTTGTCGGGGTTGGAAGACTAGTTTCCATTAAAAATTTGTGATTTTCAGGGTCCAACTCTTAATTTACCAGAGGGTATCACATTAAGCAATTGGTCCACCAGGACGATGGCGATGGCTAGCAATGGGTCAAGAATTAAACAGGCTCAACACATTAGTCATCTTGAAACATATATGGTTTATATATATATATATATAGTAACTATATGAGATATGGCTGATATATATGGTTAATATATAGTTTCTATATATATATATACATAACTGGTTGGTGGTTGAGCCCTACCCCTCTGAAAATATTAGTCAATGGGAAGGATGACATCCCATATATGAAACGGAAAATAAAAAATATTCCAAACCACCGACCAGATAAATACCCAACATACATTAGCTGATGGGTTATTAAGAGTTTGCTATCCAGTTGGGCGTATCCAGTTCCTACGATTGCCCAAGAGAGTTGCCACTTTTGGGCTCCAGTTTTCACTCGGCCACTAAAGATACCCGGGTTGATTTTTCTTTTCTGTGTATAGGGAGTTGTACTACTGGGGGTTTATTATAACCCATAGTAGGGAAACCTATCAACTATCAACCAACTACTCTCATGACATGGGATAAGGGTCTTGTTAATGGCTCATTTGACGCTAACACTCAAACCATAACCAATAAATACCAATAATATATTCAATTATATTCAATTGCTACATCATTATGATCATTATTGTTATTATTTATCACCCAATGTTAAACCACCCAGTTATACCACCCACTGCGGCTTAGCGGCTTCTTGGCGAGCTGGATGGTCCCAGCTGAGCCGGAGCACGGCTTTTTGTGGTGTCGATGGGGACGTGCGCAAAAAAACAACGCTGAAAAAAAATGACTGAAGGTCTACAAATACCGGTGATTTTCAACAGTTTGCTATTGAAAATGGCCATAGAAATATAGAAATAGTTTATTTACCCATTAATAGCATGGTGATGTTCCATAGTTATTACACACTTTGCGAACTTGAAAATGGCCCAGTCGAAATAGTTGATGGAACCCGGATTTACCTATTAGTTTGATGCTGATTTTCATTGAACTAAATGGGAATTCATAGCCACTTTAAATAGCTAAATAGCCACTATAAATTGCTGGATGGTTCACAGTTCGCGAACTGTAAACGTTTACCCCAAACCTCAGAGAGCGATTTCAGTTTCACACATCTCTGCTCTACCAGAAACACGTTCGTCACTTCGCAATGAAAGATGTTAAAGCCAACATACATAAATACCCAATAATATTGTTAATATACCTGGTTAATAATGTTTAATATAAAAATGGTTATTCTTAATGGTTAATGATGGTTAATAATAATCTGGTTGGTGGGTTTTTCGCCCTACCCCTCTGAAAAATGATGGAGTTCCTCGGATTGGATCATCATCCCCAATCTGGTTGGGGAAAATCAATCCATTCATGTTCCAAATCACCAACCAGTTATGGAAATGGTGTTACAATGAAGATCCCAATGACGGGCTTTCAAATGTTTCAAATGTTTCAAATGTCAAGTTTAAAGAAACAAAAAAAAAAAACGAGTCTCAATGAACAGTGATGAGGGCACCACTAGCCGGTGTGAAGGGTTCACCAAAAAGCAACGGAATTTCACCAAAAGTTGGATCATAACCAACAAAACAGGAGATTTTTGAGGGCCGTTCAGACAAAGGGTCTCTAGATGCACCCTAAAGATGTGACCCCCATTCGCCATTTTGGGCTTGCGATTTCTTGCGATTTGGATAGGGTGGAAAGGGCCCTAATAGCAATAAAATAGCTATAAATTGGCATGTGAAGTGTAGATACTTCCACCAGAAATCTATCCTTTCGCCGAAAAACCACCTCAGCTATCGAAGTTGCGGACTCTGCAGCTGCCATGGTTGCCATGACCAAATGAGTTCGGTGGACTCTTATCCCCTGGACATGGGCATTAAAAATTATGCTGTTTCACGGTGAACATACCTAACATAGCTATGGAAAATCACCATGTTCAATGGGAAAATTCACTATTTCTATGAAAATCACCATTTTCAATGGGAAAATCCACTATAAATGGTAATTGTCAATAGCAAACTGTTAGTTTACCAGAGGGTAATGATGATCAACCATTGAATTCTGGAGGCTTTTCCATGGTTTCACCATCCAGATGCCATCCAAATGCCATCCAGCCAGGGAGCCGAAGCTGGAAGTGGCTGGAGGCACGTACCAATGGAAGGACAAGATCAAACGATTTTGCTGAGCCTGGACCAATGGGACCAAGCTGACCAAGTGCCTTTTCCCCCGGGAAAACCACCCCGGGAAAGACCATAGGAACATGTTGATAAACAATGGCTGGTTACTATATATATATATCAGATATAGTTACTATGGTTTATATAGTTAATAATCCAAATGTTTGAAACCACCAACCAGATGGGATTTTATAGTTCTATGATAGCTAACTTGGTAAACATTACTCCAAAAAGTGTTGGGTCTATGATACATGGAACTAGTTAATGGGGGTTGAAACCAAGAAACATAACTCAGGGCCTTATGAGGATAACTTGTGGGGACATAGTGGGGGGAACTTTATGGGAATGTACTGGCGGACCCATGTTGAACCCCAAACATAAGATGTTAATGTTTATAATTGTTTATATATGTCTATTCATTTCAAGTATACCCGAAATATATCAGATGTTCGCAAACATGGATCCAGGGGGATATATATAGCGGGGACAGTTTATGGGGAGATATAGTAAGGTCATGTAAATGCCACCTTTTTTCCCCTGCAAATACCCTCTGGTAATTTAACATAACTATGGAAAATCACCATAGAAATAGTGAATTTTTGCCATGAAAAACGGGTGGATCTTTCCATAGTTTTTTGTAAACGTTTACCAGAGGGTATATCCAATGATATCTTTGGAAAATCACCATTTTTAATGGGAAAACTCACTATAAATGGCCATGTTAACTTGCCCCAAACAGGTCATCAAACATGGCTAGCTGGGAAATCCCCGAAGAACTTTTTGGATTTTTTCTCGAGCACGGTCCCACCATGTCCCACCCCCCAGTTTGGCAGCGTCTGTTTCACCAGTTGGCCATGGCTGGACCATAGCTATGCAATTTTTAGAACCAGTGGGTACCCTCTGGCAATTTAACATAACTATGGAGAATCACCATTTTTGATGGGTAAATCCACTATTTCTATGGCCATGTTCAATAGCTTTTTGTATGTTTACCAGTGGGTAAACCAACAGAACAGATCAACTGTCTCCAACAAAATATCCAGAGATTTGAGTTGCATCATCAGGGTCCAAGTAACATAGGACTGAAATTGTTCCATGGCATCCTTGGGAGTACCTGCACCTTAGGCCCAGGATGGCGAAGGGAAAATCTCAAGGAAATCGCTGGGAAAATCTGCAGCTTCATGCTACTATGGCCCCCTATGGTCATCCCCAGATAGAAAAGGAAAATCCTTTTCTGGTTGGTGGTAGACCTACCCCTCTGAAAAATGATGGAGTTCGTCAGTTGGGATTATTGTTCCCAATATGATGGGAAAAAATAAAATTCATGTTCCAAACCACCAACCAGAATCAGATTTTTCTATCTTTTCGGGTTCTCCTAAATCAATCCATTGACAAAATAAATCCATCGCGGTGGCGGTGAAGGTCGGTGGCGGTGGCTGTGGCTGGAAAATCCACCAGCCATCGGGGTACTGCATTGGTTATGACTAACAGTTCGCTATTGAAAATGACCATAGAAATTTCGTGAGTTTTCCCATGAAAAATGGTGATTTTCCATAGCTATGTACCATAGAAATCGTGAGTTTTCCCATGAAATTCATGGTGGATCTTTCCAGTTCGCTATGTAAACGTTTACCAGAGGCTACTGCATTGGTGGTGTCGATTTTTCAAAGAAATAGTGGTCAACGGAGATGAGAATCCTGCGATGAAAAATGTGCTGAAATGAAGGACCGTGATCCAAGTCTTAGATATCAAATTGGTGACCCCCTTGCATCCCATGATCAAATTTCTCCAGATAATATGACATTCTATTCCATATCCCCATACCCATTATATATCCTCATTATGTCCCAATCATATCTCCATATTTGTGGCCATTCGTGGATATTCCCCATTCCATTTCCAGTATGCAGAAAAAAAATACCCTCCTGTAATCAAACGTAGAAATAAGAAGATCCGCCATGTATAGATGATGTTCATTGATCTTCCCATCAACATCTCCGTTTTCCCGTTGCCATGTTTGATTACCAGAGGGTAACCCATTTTCCAGGAAGACCCAAGGCACACTGCAAGCAGCTCACGAAGCACGACTCACCTAGTCACCGCAGTCGTTCACACGGACGGACGGGATTCCCTACGGTGTGTTCTCGAAAAATTGAAAAAATTGAGTGTATATCCCCCCAAAAAAAAACGCATTTTTGATAGGGAAGTGCTGATGATCAACTGATGATAAACCACTAAATGTGGGGTTACCCTAGTTTCAGAATCAAAAAAATTGTGCAACTTTAGGGATCCTAAACTCGTTTGACCCCCTGAAATTGCGAACATTTCGACGAAGAAAATAGGTGAAATGGCCCCCTTGGAAAACACCTGCCCTCCAATTACTCTTTTCAAATAAGGTGAGCCCAAGACGAATCTGCCACTTGAGCATGGTTTGTACTTCATGTGGTTGCGGTTTACAACATTAATCCTTTCCGACTAACAACAAATACGCCCCCAGAACCCCTTGTTGACTGTTTGATTGATTCCTTGTTGGAACACAGATGGGGGAAACCAACTGAAACTACATATTGGCCATGTATCTTTTGAACGGGACTTTCAAATCTATTCATGCTTCACCTTTTGTGGTTATCATTTATAAAGGGGTTAGAGCAAAGCCTGATGAAAAGCTCGGCTTCGGGTCACTTTCCACGGCATTGCTCCAGTTGCCAATGGCGATTGGTGCTTTGATGGAAGGATCTTTGGCCAGTGCGGCCAGAACATCGCCCTGGCGGTCAACATCGGTCGACGCGAGATGGATTTCTCTTTGAACCAATTGCTCCGAATATTGACCCTGGTGGCCTGTATTGGAATGTATTGGTGTTTATATTGGTGGCTAGACCATATATATATATCCATATATCATGTATAGTATCAAATGTGATAGAACATATATATGGTGTATATACTGTGGATGAAAGGAATCCTGCACCACCAAAAGGATGGTTGAAACCCCATAAGCAATGGGATGTTTACCACCGTTTTCAACTGGTGATTCGGATTTCGCTGGCCCATCCACAGTATCTCGGTTCATTCATTTTGGGGGTCCCTATGGGGACGGGAAATCAGAAACCGGTCAACATCAAATGGCCCGCAATCCTATAAACTCTGTCCCCACAACTGAAAATTTAATTACTTTAGAGTTGTGTAGATGTTAGATGCACCAACAAACATTAGGATGTAATCAACTGAAAATTGGTGAGGGATGAATTTGAAGATCCATGACATTTTGCGGTCACTCCCAGTTGTAATGTGGACTTCAACCCCAAATGGTGACCGGAAAAAAAAAAGGCGCTATACAGAGGACTTACCAACCACCAACAATCCCTAGTAAGGGCTTACTGTATTACAGTAACTATTATATTACTGGTTGGTGGTATACCTACCCCTCTGAAAAATATAACTTTGTCAGTTGGCATGATGAAATTCCCAACTTTTCATGGAAAGTCATGTCATCCATTCCATGGTTCCAGTCACCACCAACCAGTCTGCTATTGGCCTGTCACCTCTGTCAGAAAACTCCGTGAAATCCCCCATCTTTGAAGATCCGTGTTTCGTGGGCACCTCAAAGGATAGGATGCTCCTCCAAATGCTCATGCAAACACAGCAGTTCGGCAGCCCACCCAGTGGTGGCTCGTTCATCAGCTCAACTGCAATGACGTTCTCGTGCCTGGCACAAAAGTGCGTCGAAATTCATGGAATCTCCGGCTGTCTTTGGCCAAAAAAGAGCTGATAAACCGATGATAAATATACCGAACTATGGTCTAATTACCCTCTGGTGATCTCACATAGCTATGGAACATCCACAATTTATAATTAGATGAATTACCTATTTTAAGTGGCTATTTTCCCATTTAGTTCAATGATGTTCTCATTTAAATGTCGCTACTTCGGGCATCGCACCCAAAAGAAGGAGTGTGGCTAGCAGAATTCCCAAGGGTAGTCGGGAAGTCGTCAACCACCATTCATTAACGATGACCTCAGCTGTTTGATGCTTACAACAGTTGAAACCTCTAGTCTATATGAATATATCATAAATTGTATCATTTACCATCTGGTTATTTAACATAGCCATGGAAAATCCCTTATAAATGGAGGTTTTAATGGGAAAATCATCTATAAATGGGCCATTTCCCATGGCTATGTTAAATAACCAGAGGGTATACTCATTTATCAACTCTTTCCCATTCAAACCCCTGAAGTAATCAACCACAGGCAGCGGCGAAAAATCCAACCCGTGCCTGTCCCAGACTCCACACAAATACTTTGCGTAGGCCACCTGAAACCGTAGCACCAAAAAACTGCCGTTTGGCCAAGAGGTGGGCCCCAAAAATCAGCGAAATTGCTGGGAGAAATCCTACCGAAAATCACAAGAAATATATGGAGGTGTCCTGAAAGGCAGGCTCACGAATAGCCGTTGTCTATAGCTTTCCACCATATTCCCAAAATTTCATGGGCACATTCGCTTATGAATATTACATCATATTTCATGGTTTCCACAATATTCACCAATGAGTCATAGCACATTCCCCCCTTGAAACAAGATGCCTACGGCCTACGGTTTAGGAGTGGCGACCAGCTCGACTCCGAAACCCACCAAAATGGCAATGGCCTGTTGGGATTTAGTCCCAATAACTCTGAGACTGCTTATGTATACTGCATACCATCTATCATCAAACAAACCTGTTGTCAAAGGGGTAAACCTTCAAACCCCTCTATGAAAATCAATCAACCAATGGGAAAAGAACATCTATAGTCTATATATATATAGTTATGTATGTTATGTACATATATATATATAATATATATATATACATATGTGTGTGTGTTATACATATAGTACCTATCTTACAACGGGAACTGCACCCCAGGTGCTCTTACAAAAGAAAAGGCTGGGACTTCCAGTGGGCACCAAAGATTTGGGGTCTCGCCAGTTCTTGACAATTCTTTCGCAGGACAACTGTGACTCGGACCCATGAAAATCAACCATTTGCTCATCAAAAAATGGATGCTTCACATTGGTAGCACATCTGGCCGAGATTTCTGGGTTTTACAAATCCGAATTCTTCTAGGCATTTCTAGGTCTTCCAGGTCCAAGACACGAAGGGGTCGAAAAACAGCTCCTTGTCAAGCTGATTTCGAGCTGAGTTGTAGATCCTGGGCATCGAATTCCTCAGGGCTCGGCTCAGCAGATTCGTCACTTCCTCTGACATCGCACAAGTTCTTGTGCCGGAAAGACAGCCAACCAGCTTGTGTGAGCTGTCAATCCCCATCTGTACAACTTCCTACCAAAAGGACGGGAATCTCAAAGACCCAATACCACCAGACCTCCTAAAGAGCGAGGACAAATCCGCGACCACAGCGGGGTGAAGGGGGATCCGACCGCCCACAGACAACCCACGGGCACCAAGCCGCGCAAAGGGCAGACCCGAAACATCGTCCACATCACCCGCCGGGAGCCCGTCGACGGCACAAAGCGCGCGGACCCACGTACGATACAACTGCGACATCCGCGGAAGCACAAAGGAGTTGAGCGTCGAGTCCTCCAAAACACACCACTTACCATCGTACCAAAACGGAGGAAGCGAACCCGTGTCGAAGACAAATTGCCAAAGCAATTCGAGTGCTGAAATCCCACACCAACCTGCGGCACATGATGGATACCACCTCAGGGAGCACAGCCATTCATGCAACCTCCTGCCAAAGCCCGAATGAACCTGAGACCGGAGCGAGATCTCATCGAGCCGCGCACCTCTACCTACCACCACAAAACCGTCAGGCTCCCATTCACCGACCTTGGGTCTTTCGACCTCGACGAAAGCCTGCGCAATTGCCACATGCAAGTCCGCCAGTCTCGCCGCGTCTTCCTTCGCAGTGTTGTATTCCCTGAAAAGCGCCCGATACAGCCTATGCTGCGCCCTTTCAACAACCACCTTCTTTGCCTCCGCATCAACCCTTGCATTGAAAATGGCCAGAATACGGGCCTCACCCACCAAGCGCTGAGGATCCTGATGCGCCTTCACCCAGCGCACGATGCATGCACCCCACGACCTACCTGCCACCGCCCCACAGAAGAACACCCAAAGGTCCTTATGATCCGCAGGGAGACTGGACAACCTATGCTCCTCCGGCAGCTTCAACAGACCAGTGGCAACCCGCACAACCGCGAGGTTATCGCAGAAAACCGTGACACAGGTGAAAGAGGAAAAAGCAACTGCAAGCGCAAGGATCTCCGCACGATAACTGCTTTGCGCCAACCCAGGCAGAAGCCCGGCCCACACCAGGTCGTGGGTCCCGTTCGAGTTTGCCAAGACCACCGCACCTCCCGCAATAGCAAGCCTTGGGAACCTGGGGGACAAACAGCTCCCATCACAGAAGACAAACTTCCGCTCGAGACAAGAAGAGGTAACCAGAAAGGGCCAATCCAAGCAGCATGACTCAGCTTGCCACTCCCGCAACACAGGCAACTCATCCCACAACCCGTATGCCCAAGTATGCGGCGGCAGCGACCGACCCCCAAGCAGCTCCAGAAACGGCCCACGCAAATCAGCGACTGCTTCACAATCTCTAGCCCTGTGCAACCTGGAGTCCTCCTCTCCACACAAAGGACACGCGCGCGAGACCTCCACACCCGCAGCATGAGACAAACAGTCCCGAGTAAAGGTCACCCCGGTCACCTGCGTAAGAAGCAAGGCCTGCTCACCGAGGGGATACTTCATCCACGTCCTGGAAAGTTGAATGTCAATGTGCTCTATCCCAGAGCAATCCTTTCGGTGCGCGACATTCGCCGCCACCTGATCCATCCACGAAGTTTCCAAAACGTCCTTGACCGCCTTAAGAGGAGTCTCCACCAGATGAAACATCCGACCAAAGTCATCCCTGGCTTCCAGACCCACCACCATCCACTCCATTGAGCGCAACTGCTTGGCCAACAAGTAAGAAACACCCCCAAAACCACACCGCAACGAGATCAATCCTCGGCGCATACGAGCCCGTGCCAAGGGGGAATCCCTCCACATCAGTCTGAAGAGCCTGATCCTTTGAACCAACAGACAAAAGGCAGGATCCACTGTCTGCATAGCCCCCACCGAACAAGCCAACCAGGGGCTTACCCCCGGTTTTGCCAAGGAAGCCACCCTACCTGCCTGCGTTCTCAATCTCTTGTAGACCGACCGAGGAACCTGACAAGTCTCCGCACCATGCAGACATTGTGGCCAGATTCCGGACAGAATCAACCTTGTTTTGCGCCACCTGGAGCACGGAACAGCCCTGGCCCGATGCAGCCTCCTGTGACCGAGAGAGATCCTTTGGTTCCTTCTGGCAGCCGCACGTTTCTTACAATAGGGCAAATCAGCACCAAGATCCACGGATTGGAGCTTAACCGGGATTCGGTCCTCACCCAGGGTAGCCAACTTGAGACGCTTCCTTCCCTCCTTACAAGCACTCCACAGCCAACATTTCTCCGGGGAAATCGGCAACGCACAACAGGTCAAAAAGGTCTCCACCGCCGGAAGGATACGCAACACCGGTTCAACTTTGTCCGCAAGCACCTACCAATTGTCCGCGTAAGTGAGCGGCAAGACCTGCCCTTTCGACTTCACCCAGAGAGCAAAAAACCGACACATGCAGAACATGGCGACCACAGACAAGGGGTCACCCTCCGGCACCCCCGCAGTGGCCGCCCGATCCCCTGGGTCCGCCCTGTATGCATTGCCCATCACCAGCACATGCCTTTCCATGCCATCCAAACCGGCTAACCACGCTCTCGCCAAGCTCTCCGGGATCCCAAAGTGACACATGACCTGGCACACCAAAGGGCGTCGTAGCACATTAAAGGCCTTGACGATGTCCAACACCAATCCCGTGGGTGCTTTCCCTGCGTGCATCTCCTCGGCAACAAAGTCCGCAACAAACCCCCAAAGGGACCTGGTCGAGAGACGCGGTCCGACCGTTGGCAAGGCATGCACCTGACAGATCTCAAGCATCTGACGAGTCCTGATCCTCGACCAAACCCGGTACACCACCGAAGCGACAGAAATGGGACGCACCGAGTTCCACTCCGGGATGCCTTCGTCCTTTCTGAGAAGGACAACCAACCACTGTTGCAACTGTCTCGGCCAAGTAGCATTGACCTCGATCGCTTTGAAGATGCGCAGCAAGGGGGAGACAACGCAGAGGGGCAGATTACGAAGCTCACCGACCGACCAGCCACATGTCCCTCTCATGGAAGTAGTCTTAGCACGACTCAGAGCTGCTTTCCAGTCTTCGAACTGTATATCTCCCAAGGGATGCTCAGGGACACTCGGAATTGTGTCCAACATTTCCTTCCAAGGCGTACCTCTTTCCAAACCTGCTTCACGCTGCCAATACGAATTCCAACCTTTAAAGAAGGCCCGGGACCAAACACTGGGGTCAAGGGAAACCTCAACCTTTTCAAGCTCAGCAGCCTCTTTTCGCGACAACCTGACGTCAACTTGGATCGAGTCCTCCTGGACCTCCAAGATTGTGCATTCCCTATACCCTTGCAGCTTGTCCCCTTCTCGGAACTCAGAGGCGTTCAACAGTCTCAACCACTGTTTCCCATCTGGCAACCATCTCTGGGGCGCCAACCTGACCGTCGTCCTAACTCTCATTTCAATAACAGGCGGATGCTGCTGCTCCTTGAGCATTTTGAAGGCGAAACTCCCTCCTTGCTTCTTCCAGGAATCATCAACCTGCGCCAAGAAACACTCACGCTTGGTAGCCCAACACCTCCTAGCTACCTCCTGCGCATGGGTGGCCGCAGCTTGATACAAGACTTCCAGAATAGCAAGGCTTGGCAAAACATGCACTTCAAATCCAACAGCCTCAGAGGCCCATCTCGGAAACCGCGGCCGAATCGGAGACCCAACAATGGATCGCCAAATACACTGCACCTCAATGGAGAAAGAGTGAGAGTCCTGTGCCCGACAACCGACCTTTAATTTCCGAACCAGGGCTTCCAGCTGCCTAACCAACTTCTGCCATCTCCTTGCCTCCAAAGCCACAGAGGGCAAACTGAGCCTAAAATCCCCTGGCCGACCCGTGTGAAACCGTGGTGGTGCCCACGCACGCAAAACCGGCTCAAACAACCTACCTCTACCAGACCATGCCGGCTTGGCAACATCAATTCCCTCACCGTCAACTGCCGCCAGCAAAAGGGTCTCCGCAATCTCAGACCAGTTCTCAAAAGCCTTGTCCATATTTCCTTCCTCCAAACACCGATCAACCGCAACCTGCCACATCTCGACCGATACCGCGTCAGCCAATCTTTCCAGCCTACCGAAGTCAAGGGGCAGCTTGTCCAAAGGTTTGGGCGTAAGCCACTTGTGAACCCTCAGATTTGTACACGGCAAGTCAAACTCCGAAACCAACACCGCATGCGTCGGCAGATCCTCATGAAAATCCACCACCGACCTCCTCAAACGCGGCACAAGCAAAGGATTCACCACACAGAAAGTGTGCCTCGTAGCCCTCTGACAAGTAGGCTCAGGTTCGCACCCCCTCCTACGTGCATCCAACAATGCCGCATCCGCCCAACCGTCGTGAAGCAAACCTTTCATGTCCTCAAAGTTGACCAAAGGGGTATTGAAATCTCCCGCCAAAATGGCAGGCCCCGAAACCGACCGCACCAACTGCACACCTGCACGAATTATCTCACAGTTATCCACATACCTGCGAGAAGTCAAAGGAGCATTGGGCCACAAATAAACAGTGACCATGGTAACCGCAAGCTCTCCAACTTGCACCACCCCCATATGAATCCGCTGTGACTGCCAGATTCGGCAATCGACAATCGTTGACTCAAAACTATACAAAGGAAACCGCGAAACCATCCCGCAACCACGAGATAAACCGCGAAAAGACCCCAGAACATTACCCACTTCAAACTTATCAGGGACAGGCCGACTCAGCCCCACGGAAAATCTAACCGACCTGAACTCAGCAGAAATAGCTCTCACCGCACGCTGCGTGTGGCTGGTTTCGGAGAGCAACACGACGTCCGTGTTCCAAGCTGAGATCACCGCCGACTTTCCCAGGAGCTGCATGGGATTAGTCGTGCCCACCTTCAATCTCAGGGGTGCCCCTGAGTGTCCACCTTTCGCACCTTTGGTGATTGCTCGATCGCCATCTTGATTTCATTGAGCGTGGCCTGCTGCTGGTCCTCCAATCTCTGCACGCGTTGTTCATTCTGCTGCCCGAAACGTTTAAGCAATTGCTCAAACCTGTCCTCCATCTTGGCGACGTGTTCCACTTTCCCTTCCAAGGATTGCAGGGCAATCTGAGTCTGCCCTGCATTCTCTTTGACCTGTGCAGCCAACGCCGAAACCTGCTGCTCGAGATTGTCGACCCTCGACATAGCTTTGGCTTCAAGCTGCTCAAACTTTGTTTTCACCTCCGGCAACATAGGTGCAGCCTTGCATGTTTGTCCTTCATGCGGGGCCACCTGCCATGCTGTCTTTGTCACGACGTTCCTGCTTGATGAAGCCAAAATGGCCCCTGGAGCATGAGCTTGATCTTCCAGGATGACAATGGTGGCCTCGTTAACCACAATTGACCTGACCGGGGGGGGGCCACCAGAAGAGACCAACCAAGTCCCAAATCCCTGGCCACGTAACACCTTCGCTGCCCAACCAACCTTACGAAGCAACGCTTTCAAAGTGGTCCGCTCGTATTCAGCCGGGACGGCCAAAAGTCTGAACCTTCGGGGGCCACCAGAATCACTTTCGTCCGAAACCTCAAGATCAGGAAACAAAGCCCTTTTGGTGCTACTGTACTTGGACTCGTGGACTCTCACACCATACCCCTTCGAGGTGCGAACCAAGCCCATCACATCCTCCAAAATGTCCTTCTGCCTCTTCGCGTCTTCCAGATTGAAACCTGGGAACGTGATGACTTTGTAAGCGGGATCAACCGTCCGTGCAGAAGTCCTTGGTGTAGCGTACATACCATCAGTCCCAGAAAGCTGCAACAGCGGCTCCACAAAGGCCTCCAAGATACGCACAAAGCCATGTGCATAGACTGCGTCCTTGACACCGACCCTTTTATTCCCTGCGTAGAAGCCAAGCCCCCAAGCCTGTTGAATCATCTTGGTCTCCTGGAAACCCAGTTTACGAAGGTAAAAGGCGGTGCCTCTTTGCAGTTCACCCCAATACGTAGACTCGTCCCTGTAGACGTGAATCATGACAACCTTCGTCGCCACGTGGTCTTGCACTACCATGTCAGCCTTGGCAATTTTGTACTGAACCTCAACATCACCCACCTGCACCAAAACCGACCGAATAGCAGAAGAGTGGGGTCCCACCCAACCTGGCACAACCACATCACTGCACTTGGAGGTGACAAGTTCCCTTGGAAGGTCTTTCACAGAGCATCCACACACGATCAACGCCGCAGGACCAGTTGTCCGACTCCGCTGAAGTATAACGGGCAACCTTTCACCAATCGCATGCAACTGCTCTACCACCAACCCAGATGCTCCTTTAAGAAGATCCTCAATCGAGATGACTGGGAGCTCTTTCCCCTGGACATGGAAGAAGGAGTCATCAATCTTCAGGTTGGCGGACTTGGATGCTTTCAAATCCTTGGCGTGCTTTTTTCCTCGCCCTACCCCAGCCCTTTTCCACGGGTCGTTGACCTGAAGAGGGTCGACATCCTTGGCTTGCAACGATGTGGAACCTGCCGCTTTTCTCTCCCGCTCTAGGACCGTCACCAACCTGACGTCTTGCTTCGTGGCCTCCGCCTTGAGCGCGGCCCATGGAGTTTTGGAATCCAAGCACCGCTTACAGACCTCGTAGGAAACTTTTTCGACCAGAGTGGCCACTCGCTGGGCAAGCTCTTCCTCAGGAACCCCATGCTCCCTCAACAACTCCCTCAATCGCTCCTCCGTAGCCGCAAGTGAAAGAGCACCCCCTTTCAACGGAAACAGTCTCAGCCGAAGCACACCTGTGCAATTGGCAGCCAAAATGAGTGTATCATGCGAAACCGACCTGCCTCCCACCGTGATCATCGGGACAGCTCGACCCCCAAAGAAGCGAGTGGACAAATACGACTGAACTTCCCCTACCGTGGCCAACGGGTGGACCTGAATCCTCCCAATGGGTTGAATCGGAACTTCACAAAGCCTGAAGTCGACCTGGTAGTATCCAGCCCCAATTTCATCCTCACACCCAATCCACTCATTAGTGACCACGTTGCGCACATGAGCAAACTTCGCAGCAACAGGGAAAGGAAAAACCTTTCTCAGAAAGAAAGAAACATTCTGCTCGGCCTGCCACTCCACAGCTCTCCGTTGCCCCTTCGACAAAAACACAACCTCATCCTCAACCAAAAACCACAAAGGGAATTGGAGCTTGTGCGCAGGAACCATCCACGCTGGCACATCAGGCCGAATTGCATTCAGCGCGCCAAGACAAAGCTCCTGCCCCGTGCTCACCAGGCATTCCTTCCATGTCGACAAAGGCGAAACCCCCAATGTGAAGTTCACCCCCCGCAACAAGACCGGTTCAAATTCCACGTGAACCTCGATCACATCCTCGAAAAGCAGGCAACGCAAAAGATCAACCTTCTTCCCCAAACCCAGGACCTCCGACAGCACCTCTCGGATGTTCGCTCCTTCCGTGAACAAACCACGAGAAGAAACCCACCAGTACGTTCCATGATGACGCACCAACACCTGCCCTTCCTGATCCTCGACCGCAAAAACTTTCTGAGCAAACCGAAGTTCAGGCCCAAACCGACGTACCGCCATGTTACCCAAGAAGGCCCAGCCACAAACCATCAACGCAATGACTTCACGTAGAGGCACATCCGCCAATACCTTCAGGATCCCAAACCTTTGGAAGATCGGCCTCAAAATCTGCAAGACCTGAATAGGGGCAACGCAATTCCCCAATGCAGACATGCATTCATCGGCATCCTCAACAAAAGGAAAGACCGGTCCAAAGCCAAAAAGTCTGGCAGCCTCACACGGGTGCAGGTACCTCCTCAATTGCCCGAACCTAACCAACCACGTGAAGAGACCTTTGTCACACAATGAAGACCAAGGCAACAAATGCTGACGCATGTAAGAAGACATAAGAACCGGCAATGGGGGCGCGTCATAAGTGCGAGCCTCCAACACCTTATCCGCCTCCCTACTGCACAATCTCTTCAGTGAAAAGGGAAGCAGTTCCCACTTGGCAAGCACTTTCTCTTGTTCCTCCGAGATGCCCTGCACAAACATCTCAGAAATTTGCCACAACTTAGCCGGCAAGTTCAAAGCGGTACCTTCGTTGATTGGGAAATCAAGCAAGACCCGGAAGAAACAGAAGAAACACCTTGGACGCTTCATAGGAACAATGTGTGAAAGCTCCAACAACTTCACACGCAAGTGCCGCAGCCCCAACATGTGAGCAAAGAGGCCAATGAGAGCCCAGTGTGGGTGCCTGATCAGTCCTTTCACATTTTCACCACATGAAACCTCTGCATTCACCACAGCTGCAATCCCCAGGCCATGAAGCATCAGCTGCCCATTCTCGTCATGAATGCCCAAGCAATTTCCCCCACCTGAAAAGGAAGTGCAAGGTGGTGACATCATGAGCACCCGAAAAGGCCACCCCAGGGTAAGCTTCAACCACCGCCTATCTCTCACATCTCCAATGACGACAATGTCGAGGGACAACATGTCGGGCAGGATTGCCTCCAAAGGGACGGCCTGGCATCCCCTCATTTTACTCAACGCAATCGCCTTACGAGTGTCAATTTCGATGGAGACAATCCCGCATCCATCGTCCAAAAAGGGCAGTGCCTCACTCCATCCTCCGATACCAGCGAACAACTCAAGACACCGGGTGTCTTCATCAATCCATCTACGAACCAGGAAGGAGAAACCCTCCCTGGCCACGAAGAAAACCGACAGACCATCATAAACACCGCACAAACGAGCATCCAGAACCGCAAGTTTGAAACCTACCTTGGGAGTAATCCAACTCATCCAAAATTGGTCAAAAACCACAATAATGGTTCTTTCCCCTACCACAGCTTTCCAGCACACCGCTGTGAGCATCTCCTCAATGATCTCAAAAGCGAAAGACTGTATTCTTCTCAAGCCGCGCACCTCTTCCAATTTCCAAACATCAAAGATCGTCGAGGCGCATTCCAAAGAAGCTGGCAGTTCCCCGGAGGGGACCACTTGATCCATGAACCTGGGGGTCAGACATCCTTGACACACCGAAAGGTCTTGAAAGCACATGACGCACTGTCCTGGCCATTGGCCTTGATCGCAAACCACCTCCACTCCTTGGCGGGTGGGCGTGAGATTCTCCTCATGTATGACCAAAGACCTACCGACCTCAAAAAAGAAGAAACAGAAATTCGGATGAGAAACATATAAATTTGTCTCCTCACCAACCGGGGGTCCCGCCAGAATCATCTCGACGCACTGGTTGAAAGACAAAGGCACATATACCTGTTCTTGGACACAGAAGGGAATAGTCGGCGAAACCCGCACCTCAAAATTTCCAATGCCATCTTCTCCACAATCATCCGTTATGTGCTTACCAGAAACACCACACTCACCTACCTGTTGTTCCATTCCCTTCCCAGGGTCCTCGAAGGCAGGAAAATCCGAGATAGGGTCCGACGCCTCAAAAGGCGAGTCATGAATACTCTCAACAGAATCCATACTCAAAGGAAACCCGCCGGGACTACTGACGACAGCAGTGAGATCGAAGTCGGAAACCCCTGCCGGTTTCCAAACCCCTCCCTCCAAATCATCAAAACCGCCCTCAAAAGGAACACCAGCGACCTTTTCAACCGACCGACCCGCCTGAGCACGTTCACTGGCTTCATCATCTTGCACTTCTTGATGAGAGTTCTCAACCTGCAGCCGACCATTCATACACCCGATACCGACCGGGTTGTCTGTGGGGGAAAGTGGGGCAGCACATGAAGGACCAACCGACTCAGAGCACACCATATACCTGCGCGCGCCACGAGAATCCCGTCCAGGTGAGACGTCTCTATTGGCCGGCTGATACCTTCTGTACACTGCGCCACTCATTCTCTCAGTCTTTGATCCTCCGGTCGTACTTGAAGGTTTGGCGGCCCCACAAATAGGACATTGGCTTCTCTTCGCAAAGACCATCTTGGTGTGATTCACACATTCCGGTGTAGGGCATTGCCAATCTGGCGGGAAAAGCACTGCACGAGGTTCACGCTCCGTAGTAGCACGCTGGCGGCTAATTGCCATCCTCTGATGTGGCATCGGAGACAGAGATGGCGACTTTGGTCGAGCCGACCTAGTGCCTCCGTCAGACCCTCGACCTCGAGAGCGAGCATCCCTCATTCCTTCCACATTGTCCACATCTCGTCCACGACTTCGGCCCTCTTCAGGGTGTGCTTCTCCACTCCCACTTGGAGTTTCATGCGACTGTCGATCCTTTGGTCCCGCCTTGGATTTGGCATGGAGTTGCACGGCATTTTCAGAGTCGTGAGTCCTCCAAGTGAAGGTCCGACCCTCCTCTGCTGCATGGTCTGAGCCAACGTGGCTGTGCCCACCTCCACCTGAAGGTGAAAAACCAGCTCCAGTGCCTCCGTCGCCAACTCGCCGATGTTTGCCTTCACCATCCTCCTGTTCAAACGGCTTTGACTTTCGCTTCCTTCTGGATTTGGATGACTTGTGCCCTCCAATGTCAGCGCCACAACTTTCTTTCACCTGCTCATCGAACTCAAAGGCCACGACATCACTCAAAAGCAACGAACGAAAATGCAGCCATGGGTTCGCGCTGGTGACCGTTTTAGGCCATGCTACCGAAATCCCTTTGGATTCAAAAAGGCCGACCTCCCCCGAGAGGATCTCAACCTCATTGTGACAGACCGTGTTAGCCAACATGGAAGGAGGCATCGAGTAGACCTGACTTGACGTCGGCATCGAGATTTCAGATCCATCCAACTCCCATGTACAGGTTCCAGACGGCAAGCAACGCATAACCGAACCTACCATGAGCTCACGTTGACGGTCGGCATCAACCACCAAGGGCGTGATCCATTTTGGCATGTCCTGAACACAGCCAACAACAACAGCCAGCGGAACCATAGCAGGATCAGGAACGACATGCACAACACAATGTTGAGGAGGCAGCAAATCCGCACACCAAAGCGGGATACCCTGCACACTCTCACCATGCAGTGAGTCTGAATCCCACTTACCTCGTCTCAAGCCTTTGTTGCCAAAATCACGCCCAAAAGTTCTGCCACCAACCAGAGTCAAAATCTGTTCAGTCTCAAGTGGTGTTTGCTGCCGCAAGTCAACGTCAAACCTGGGAAGCTCGGGCATCTCCAGCGCCTCAATCCAAATGTCTGAGATGCGCTGCTCAGCCTGCATCACCGACCTGAAACTATCCAAAGGATTCTGAACCGGACTGAAAGCAGTCAGAGCACCAGAGACCTCCGAAAATGGAGAAACCTCATCCGACTCACCGACCGTACAAAGAAACCTGATCAGGGCCCTGTCAAGGTCATTTGCGTCACGAATGCGCTGCCTAACCAGCGTGACCAAAGGGTCAGCACTCAGATTCCTCACCCTATCGGGGTTCAGACATGCCTGCACACGTCCAGTGACCCAAGTCATCCCTGGCCCTGAGGCCAATCCATTCACCAAACGCAAACACCGACCGTAGGCATTGAGCAGGCCGTCAGAGCCGCAACGCCGCCGAAGCACAGCATCCGCCCATTCCGCCATAATGGGGAGAAACCGACCAACCGACCAAAGGCTAACACGGTCCGACACACCCTCAAGGAGTCAGCGGATTCGCCCCACCCGCTGAAAGGTCCCTTGAGCCAGGGCTAGCAGATTCGTCACTGACCAGGTTACGAGCTTGACACCTCTATGGATTGCCGTAGTCACCAATCGGTTAAAAAAAAAAATCGATCACTCATGAGCAGTTGCAGGATTCAGAAGTGGGATGCCATTTTTTTTGTTTCAATCTACATTGAATGTAGATGAAAAGATCGAAGAGCTACCAATGGCTTGGCTATTTGGTGGATGCGTGTTGGATTGACAAAGCCTTGGGCTGTTTATTTGGGGGGGTTAGCAATTTGGGTATGGATCAATACCTATTAATACCATTTTTAGGGGGATGAACATCCATTTACCAGCTATTTTGATGTTCACCAGGGGTACAAGGTTTTGACACACTGCCATTTACTAGCAACTCATCACAAAAAAGGGGAGAGTAGCGCCTGATCAACCAGGCTTTATTACCCTCTGGTAAACGAACTAACAAAAAACTATGGGCCAAATCACCATGTTTAATAGGTAAAAATCCACGAAGATACGAAAAAAATATGGGCCAAATCACCATTTTTAATGGGAACATCCACGATTTTTATGGCCATGTTCAATAGCTTTAACTGTTTGTTTACCAGGCCGGGTATGCCACATGGTCGACCTTACACTGGGTTCATCTTCAAACTGACCTGCGCTCGCATCGCTTCAAAGTGAATGCCCTCCGCACATCAAACATCGCTGGTTCATGGAAAGCCTCATTTGGTTCTATGATTCTCACATCAACCTCCAGATTTTTATGTTTTTTTTCGGGGATTTCTTGACAAACCATTTTTGATTCACAAATTTAGTGGGTAAATCCCCAGTCAATTTCAATAGATGTTGATTTTAGAATCTGTTTTCCATATTTTTCCCAGCAATGTTTGATAGACTGGGTGAAATCGAACCTCATATGTGCCAGAGTCAAAAGATGGTGTATGGTTTATGGTCTTCCAACCCATATTGGGAATCCTGACAATTGGTATATAAATACCCATCAAATCCCATGAAAATGGATGACCATCCCGCAATATAAAACATGACAATCCAACTTTTGACTCGACTCTCGCATGGCACATATGAAAATCATTTCTGGGCTGAAAAAAAATCTTTCACTTTGTAAGGTTCAAATCCCAAGTTTCGGGAAAGCTCATCCCAAATTGAATCGAACTTTGACATGGTGTTTTGGTTTCAACCAGCAACCACAAAACAATCGCTGATAGTCCCCTGTTTCTTGGGTCAATGGAATGGTTTTCTTGGGAATTTTTTCACCGGAAAACCCCATGATCTTAATGGGAAAATCTATGGTTTCCGGTTTCGATTTTCCCTTAAACCAATCCATTGATAGTTATGAGTTATGAACCCCGTTTTGCTTGGTTACAACTCCATTTCTTGGGAAACTCTTAGTAGCTCCTCAGCCCCCCCCTTAATGTGTTTAATGGGTAGTATGGGCAAGTACCCATCGTTCCTTAGCTCCCTCGCAACCACAGGTTTCTTCGGTCCAAAAACTGGTCGCAAATAGTCGCAGTTCTCACAATGGATCTTGCGTCGCTCATTCCACCGTATTTCAATTCTTTCTAGAACCATACTAACATGTATTAACATGTATTAACATGTATTAACATTTAGGAATGGATATAACATGGATATAACATGGATATAACTATGGACTGGCTTACCCTCCAGTAAACTAACATGGATGGATTGAAAATCCATCCATGTTGTTGATCATGTCCCCTTCGGGGAAAACCAAACAAACCAACTGGCTATGAGGCTAGGTCTACCAGAGGGCACCGTGAATCCTTATTGCTGAAGTGAAAAATGTGTTTTTATTGCAAACACATCCTTTTTCATGGCAAAAACCATGTTTTTCTAATTATGAGTTTCTCTGAAAGTAGGGTACTCCGAAAATCCTATGGTTTATCATCAACTTTCCGAAACTGTCCATCCATTTTCCGATATTAAATGGGCATGCGAGGTGGTGCCACCCCGGTTGCAAGTTGGCTTATAAACCCTAGTGAAATTACAAACCAACCTTAGCTAACATAAATCAGCTATACCATCTGGTTATGACTAACATAGCCATGGAAAATCCCCAAAATAAATGGAGGTTTAGTTCGCTGGAAAATAAATGGAGGTTTAGTTCGCTGGGAAAATCATCTATTTCGATTAGGGCCATCGACAAACCATGGCGAACTGTTAGTCATAACCAGAGGCTACTTCTTCTTGCTTATATCACAATGGATTGGTTTAAGGGAAAATCTTAACCGGAAACCATAGATTTTCCCATTAAATATGTTTTTTTTCTGTAATTTTTCCCTTAAACCAATCCATTGACCCAATAAACAGGGATTCGATTAGGGCCATGGCTTGACCATGGCGAACTGTTAGTCATAACCAGGTTGGCTACTTCTTCTTGCTTATACCCTCTGGTAATTTAACATAACTATGGAAAATCACCATTTATAGTGAGTTTTCCCATGAAAAATGGTGATTTTCCATAGTTACGTTAGTTTACCAGAGGGTAACCCAATAAATCCCATGAAATCATCATTTTCAATGGGTAAATCCACTATAAATCCACTATAAATCCACTATAAATCACCATTTTAACCGTTGATTTCCTGCCGTGGGAACCCAAGGTTTCCCACGGTTGGTTTCCCACGACAAAGCGCTGGAGCTGAGCCGAGGTAATCAACGCACTCCAGCGGCCGTCCGCGTTGTTGGTGCGGACGCTGGCATTTCCAGCCTGGGAGAAACGTCGGTAAAATGATGGTTAAAATGGGGATTTATAGTGGATTTATAGTGGATTTACCCATTGAAAATGATGATTTAATGGGATTTATTGGGTTACCCTCTGGTTATGACTAACATAACTATGGAAAGATCCACCCATTTTCAATGGGTAAATCCACTATTTCTATGGCCCATTTTCAATAGCTATGTTAAATTACCAGAGGGTAACTAACAGGTGATAACTAACACATCCATTCCAGGTGATAACTAACAGGTCATTATATACACCATAGACCATAGAATTTTGAATTTGTATTCCAATAATAATGATATTACTATGTAATTATGTAATGCTCCATAATGATGTGTATATTGGAATGGTAAATATGATCCTATGGATGTGACCATGATGGTAATAGTTAATTATTAATGAGGGATCTTTTCATACTACTGGTTATATCCTAATGATACTACTCCATATCGAGATGGATACCATACTAATTGTAGTCCAATAAGTTACGTGGGGTGATTTTCGATTAAAATCGATCGAATAGATCGATGACCTGAATAGATCTGAATAATTGGAAGATTCGGCCTGGGGATTTCACCATGAAATGATGGATATGACATAGCTATAGTTATCATATGGATATAGAATGATATTGAAATTTAACAGTTTGCTATTCGAAATGGCCCATAGAAATAGTGGATTTACCCATTAAAAATTGTGATTTGGCCCATAGCTATGTTAAAAATGGTGGTGATATTATCTGGTTGGTGGTTGCTGCGAACCCCTCTGAAAAATGATGGGGTTCGTCAATGGGAAGGATGACATCCCATATATGAAATGGAAAATAAAAAAATGGTTGAAACCACCAACCAGCTATAGTTATCATATTATGGATATAGAATGATGAATATATATAACTAATGGATAACTACGTTATCATATTACATTCTATAGCTAGAAATTCTAACATAGCTATGGATAACTATAGCTAACAAATCAATCTTATCTTGGGATTTCACTTTGAAAATTACTAACTATAGCTAAGAAAATCGGGAGGTTAAGCATCAAGAATTGCTATGGAGCCCATGAATGATAGAAATAGTCAAGTGGTGAGGCTAGTAATAATCCAAGAAGTGTAAACCAGTCGAGTGATGTGAAGATACAACGAATTTCACCAAAAGTATGTTCAGGATAGGTTAAATGGTCGCGAGCAAGAAACCAATAAGTACAAACCAATAAGTGGTTAACGGTTAACTGATGTTAAGTGGTTAAGTTATACTGGATATTACCAATAAAAGAACAAGTACCATGTTCCCCATTTTTGGGCACCTCCAATTTGCAGGTCTGCACCCAAATCTGTAGCTAGGAAATCATCCGCTTGGTAGTTTTCAACGCATCCCAAACATAGCCCTTCAACCGCCAACCACTCATGGTGGCCTTGCCATACACTGCAAGGGAGAAAATGATGACAAGCATTTAGGATCTTTGGGGTATCCTACTTTCAGACAACCCACATATCCTACCCGGTCCTCGCACATCATGTGCCGATTACGGCGAATGGCTCAAGATTACATTTCCCAAAAAAAAAATCTGTCAAAATACCAAAAACACCGCAAGGAATGCAGTGGTAAATAAAATCGATTTAGCATGACTAGCAATGTTTTTGGTCCAAACAGGTATATAGATGTTGCCAAAAACATTGCGATGCGTGACGATCGTAACTGACGTACCCAACATCTCCATGTTACAAAGGTTCAAATGGTTACAACACACTTGCTACCCTCTGGTAAACATACAAAAAGCTATTGAAAATGGCCATAGAAATAGTGGAATTTCCCATTAAAAATGGTGATTTTCCATTGCTATGTTAGTTCACCAGAGGGTAAATCTTGCTAACCGCTTGGTTCAATAATTCCTGCCATAACATATAAAACAGCCCTCTTGGAGTCACCATAGCTTCCTGGTTGGTGGTTGACCTACCCCTTCTGAAAAATATGAAAGTCAGTTGGGATTATGATTTCCAATATATGGAAAAATAAAAAATGTTCCAAACCACCAACCAGCTTCGCCGATGACTGGAACACATCTCTGGGACCAGGCGCATTCATCAAGTTCGGAGCACCTGCGTTGGAACCCACGGAGTATGCCTTCCAGGGATCCGAGTCCTGCCAATGATTCACGGACCTATCTTTTTGGGCGCTTTAATGGTCTAATGGTCAGTGATGAAAACAGTAAAAAAACACTTTTTTGGGTGGAGATGATCTAATTTGTCACCATGTGAAGTTATGACATGACATGAGTTTTTGATAGTTTTTGGAGGTTAGAGATGGTAGATGAGCACTACATTGTTTTTTCGTCCCAGCATGACTGGTGGTGATAGCGCTTGCTGATTGGTTCACCTTCCCATCAATTCATGTTTGGATCGGGGAAACCAGGAACCGTGTTTCAAAAAACGGAGGTTGAACGGTTTGCAGTTCAAGTCATTGGGTTTTTCCGAAAATTGGATGGCTAATTCGATTGACCAAACTCTGAAGCCGAGCCTGAGCACATTTCGAAGCATCCCCATTTTCTCACCGCTACCCTCTGGTAATGACTAACAGTTTGCTATTGAAAATGGCCATTTATTTCGTGAGTTTTCCCATGAAATTCATGGTGATGTTCCATCGTTTTTTGTATCTTTACCAGAGGCTATTTCCATATTTTCATATATGTTCCATCTCCCAAGTTTTTTCCATTTCTCCGGCACCCGGCCGGATCCCGAACGTCCCGAACTCGTAAGTATGTCCTTGTCATAGGTGGTGATGTTCCAGCCCAAACACTTGGCCAAGAAATTGGGACATCCGCAGAAGACTTGCAGTGGATGATCTGGGTTGGTGACATACCTGGGCGCCCACGACATCGCAAAACGGACCTGCCATGGCACGTGACGACCTGTTGCCACGGGCGTGGCTTGCAAAAGCACGGGAACTAGATTAGGAACTTTCTGGGATTCATTAAAATTCCGATGTGTTTCAGATTTCATGATTATCTTCACATGATAGCGAGCTACTAGTGGCGAAATTAGGTTTGGATTACTGTTGGATTTACACATTTGTCAAACTACAAGTCGATCAGAACATGATAGTATACTCTTCCTATCAATGATTAGGAACGATGCTACAGTTTCGCTAGTTTTTTGTACCAGCGTGGCCTAAGCAAATTGAAGAAAAAAACGGAGTGGAACATCCTAGAGATGATTCGGTGATCCATGGCCCAAAGTTGGCCTGAAAAACTCACCTGGCCAGGTGCGAAGTCTTGCAAGATTCCGGCAGCTTTGAGCAGCTATTCCAACTGCAACAGCTGCAGCAACAGCATTGCTCCAAGCAGCAGCCAGCCCTTTCCTGCAGGAAATGGCTGCTGAGGTACTAAATTACAAAGTTGGCAAGGGACTCAGAGGGCCTAACCATTGCAAAACGAGAATGGAGAAGTTGACAGATTTGAAGCTTATGTTTTGACTCATGTTTTGACTTATGTCTCTCGGAAGGTTCCTATGTCTGACTGATTTCTCTTTTCGGCAAAGCGTGGCAGGGAGATCACGGTGTCATGAGATGTCCAGTGATCATGGCACAAAAGTTCAGTGATGTCCACCACAACGGTAGTTGTGGAGTCCTGGATGAATTCAGAATGATATTAGTACCCTCTGGTAAACTAACATAGCCATGGAAAACCACCATTTTTCATGGGAAAACTCACGAAATAAATGGTAATTTTTCAATAGCTATGTTAAATTACCAAAGGGTAAAAATTGACCTGCCCTCCACTTTTGAGTTGATGTTCCGTCTTATTGGAGGTCCGGGACAGGCCAGCCTCTTTGTAGAATCGTTCAATTCTAAGCGGTGAAAAAGGGGTATTTTCTTTACACATCCGAAACACATCTCGTGTTTGGTAACGCACCTTGGGCACTTTTTTGCAGCAACCTTGGTCGCCAACATCTACGGCGTACGGAAGATATCATCCCAACATCCCACGGACAAAAATCCAATCCGGCGCCTGGAAATCTGCTGCCACCCAGTAAGGGATTCCCTCGCCACCATTGGTGGTGCTAAAAGCGTCTTGGTGCATATCCAGGAAGACGTGCACTCCCTGGCGTTCCAACCAGTTCCACCCCAAGGATTCCCGACCCTTCTCCCATTGCAACCGGATTGTGGATGGTGGTTCACCAAGCTAAAAAAGACCATGTTCTCCGCAACAATCACAAGTTTCCCCAGTGAAATCCCCCCTTTATATATATATATACATATTATATTTATTTATTTGAAATATGTAAGTCCCCCTGGAAAAATCCGAAGCTAGTTCTTGATTCTTGGAGCATAAGCCACCAAGCGGGGTCACTTCCTAACAAGGCTTCACAGTTACCCGAGGGGACCTTGGGATAGTCTTCCCAGTAGCCTGTTTCGAGATCCTCATATCCCCATAGAACCAATGAATCCGGAAAAAAGGTGGTGCCCCAGTTCGTGAACGCTAAGTTGGTTTATACAGTAACTCCTATGGCACTATGGTTTTCGTTGGTGATGTATCGAACTAGTTGCTATGGTTTATAAACATATCTATGGTTTATATACGTAGTTACTATGGTGATGTATAGTTACTATAAACTAGTTACTATATAGTTCCTACCCTCTGGTAAACTAACATAGCTATTGAAAATGGCCATAGAAATAGTGGAATTTCCCATTAATAGCATAGTGATTTTCCATAGTTATGTAACAGTTTACCAGAGGGTAACCCAATAAATCCCATTAAATCATCATTTTCAATGGGTAAATCCACTATAAATCCACTATAAATCACCATTTTAACCGTTGATTTCAACTTAGGTTTATAAAACAACAAACATCACTGGGAAACCACCACCTTGTAGCCGTCCCACCGTCCCAGCATGGCACCTCTTCTTGAAAGACCTTCACCGTCGCCTCCAGCTTCGCCGCAAAGTTCGCGTCCACCACAGGGCTTCCCATGGGCCTGGCCATGGGGATACTATGGGAAGATCATGGGAATATCTTACATAACTAACACCATGGCGATGTGTGTATATATATACATATATATATATACATATATATATATACACATGTGTGTATCTATTTGTTTAGTTGTTTATGGACTTGCTTTTTTTGCGTACCTTGTTCCATACCATCACTGGCAACAACGGTTTTTATCCCATGGATACTGATGATTTCCCCCAAGATCATCGTTCGGTTTTGGGAGGTTTTTGCGGTATACACGATCCAAAATTGGAGCTTCATGTTTGGGTTGAATGAAAAAAACCTGGATAAACACTGAAAAATTCACCGTCTATAGTTATCTCTCATTTGTTTTCTCATTAAAACATACGTGTTTAACAATTTTTTTTTTTTCACTTACTTAAATAACTCAATGTAAATCATATAAATCCAATGGTATATTATATATATATAACTCAATATATTGAACATGAATTACCCTCTGGTAATTTAGCATAACTATGGAAAATCACCATTTTTAATGGGAAAATCCACTATTTCTATGGCCATTTTCAATAGCTATTTTGACATAACCAGAGGGTAAATCATGATCCAATGGTTTCGCTTCACGATCCACGCCTGGAGGGGTAGGCGCCTTCCATCATGGCGCCCAGCCGCACGCAGGGCAGCACCGGCCGCGGCGAGCCATCCGCCGCCGGCGGAGGCTTGTAGGCCATCTTCTGGGCGCCTTCGTTACGCAACGTTTCGCATCTTTGGATGGGAACATCCCCAATGGAATCCATAGATTTTTCGTGGTGAAAGTGATAAAAAAGAATAAAAACATGGGAAAAACCTATAGTAAAGATGGGAAAATGGATATAGTTTGGGACAAAGATCTATAATATCCTATAATTATGGTGTTTAAAAAGATACAGCTACATCATACATGATTTGTTGAATGATTTTAGGGTAAACTATGGTATGTTTTGATATGGCTACCAATATCTACCAATATGTTTTAAGAGGGATAATTCAATGGGATTTCTGAATGGTGGTTCCCATAAACCGAAAAAAAAAAAAACATCTTTTGACCATGGCACATATGGCAGATGATATCCCAAATGGCCATGAAAGTATGGGAAAATTAGGAAAATTCATGGGAAAACGATGATTCTCCAGAGGACTAGTGCGTAAACAATGGATAATGATGATGAAGCGGTTATGTAACTGTTGGCTTTAACCCATCCAACCAGAAAGTGATTAAAAAAGGCAACCATAGAAATCAGCTAGTTAGTTACTATTTGTTTGTGACCACAAAGCCATCTAGGTAACCATTGTGTTCCCTTCCTAGCCGAATTGGACCTTTTTCATGCTTCTGCCTTCCGCAAATGACAATGCCGTTGAAAGGACCTTACGAAAACTGCAATCAAACTACCGAAGCACATGCGGTCCTACAGGAATGCAGGCAAGGCATTGCCTCTCGGAATTGGGTTACTCTAGAACTTGTTTCAAAGACATCGCGGTTGGGTTCTCGAATTTATGGTCCACCCACTTGAAGTGACCAAGATCGTCTCTGCACTGAAGCTTCTGTCAAACCTTCTGAGAGTTCTGCACTCTTTTTGTGTGCACCGTAGCCGCCCACCACTTTGTCTCTTATCTAATCTCCTCTCCTCTCCTTCCCTCTACTTCTCCTCTCTGCCCTCCTCTGCTTCTCTGATCTTTTCTACTTCGCTCTTACGCTTCTCTACTTTACCCTGCTCTTCTTTACTTCTTTACTCCGACTGTCGGGCCTTGTTGATGCGGTAATGAACCACCCATCAGCCCTTGATTTTCTGGCGAAAACCGAAGAGAAACATAGCTTGCCCAAAATGGGGTACCCATTTCATCCACTGGTTCATCATATTTTTTCTCCGATGGTTCCTCTTAAAATAGTATACCCTCTGGTAAATTAACAGTTTGCTATTGAAAATGATCATTTAGTTCGTTGATTTACCTATTATAAATGGTGATTTTCCAGTTCGCTATGTAAACGTTTACCAGAGGGTAGCACATTTTCAGACATGCCCCCGAATGACCAAAGGGTTATTCGAAGCCGCCTTCTACCATTGCCTTGGCATTCTGCCGCACAACATCCAGTGGTGGGTAGTACGGTGCGGCTTTGAACACGTAGTTCCCACCCATTAAAACGATCCTCGGGAGCTGGCTCAGGGGATAGCACCCCAAAGGTGGGCTAAATGATTCGCTGAGATGGATTCCTGTGGATTCTCCATTTCGAATTCCATATCATAAGCGGGCCTCGGCGGATCTTCAGAGATTCAGTGAACCAATGCAATGTCTGACCAGGGATCAAATGAACTGGTTTTTGATAGCCTACTCATCACTTCTACGTGTGAAATCGGAGCAAATGTTGTCATCGTTGATTGTCTAATGATTGCTACGTATTCATGTGACCCTACGGTGGGTGGAAGAAATCCTGCACCACCTTGGATGGTTAAAACCCTATAAATAATGGGATAAACCACCTATCAACTGGTGCAGGATTTCTTCCATCCACAGTATGTTGTTTGATAAATTCACGTCTCTGCTAGTTATGCATGCAAATTTCTGTTGGACAAGTCATATCCCTGTTGGTTCAAGATGATAATCATGTTTGTCGACATGTTCCCCAAAAAAAACCCTCGGTACTCAAACATGGCAAAGGAAAAGTAGATAGCACGTTCCATGGGAAATCTATAGATCATGTTAACCATTTGACATGTTACACAATGGAATCATGGGCTTGCCCTTGTAGCATTATAAACCCCCAGTTTAACATTTAACATCTAGTATAACCATTGTTAACATTAACCCCCAGTTTAACATATAGCAACATACTGTGAAAAACCATGTTAACTCCATCTTTGCAGCTCGAATCTGACGGTTCCATCCAGGAGATGGAGTTATATGATTTAATGGCCATGTACCAATACCAAAAAAAAATCTTTGAAAATAGCCATTAAAATCTGTATTAATATCAAGAATTATATATGTACTGTATAATTCAAGTGATATATTGAAGGTTGATATATATATATATTATATACAACCGGTTTTATCCACTGGTCATAGAAAAAACTGTGGAAAAACACCAACACCATCTTTCACAGGTAAATATAGGTATAGATGATCCATAAATGGACCATTTTCCAGCTTTCACCAAGTATCTCTTGGCCATCCTTCTTGTAGACCTCGCCCTCGATATAGACCTTGGCTTTCCGACTGGGAATCTGATTGGAAGGGATCTACCGGTAATTTAACAGTGTGCTATGACTATATCTGGTTGATGGTATACCTACCCTCTGAAAAATGATGGAGTTCGTCAGTTGGGATGATTATTCCCAATATATGGAAAAATGAAAAATGTTCCAAACCACCAACCAGATATGGTATAGATGGCCTCTTTACTTCTAAAAAAAATGCGATTTTCCAGTTCGCTATGCAGAATTACCAGGGGGTAACCAACGGCAGTTGGGAGTTCATTTACGAACATTGGATGTGTTTTTTCTCCAAAAAGTGGGACATGTTATAGAAGACAACTTGGAACCTCGATTCTGGGGAAATTTGAAAAACTTGGAGTCAAACTACCAAAATGGAAATAAGACCAGCCAAGAACTTGGATTTCATCAACTTGGACTCTACAATGTTTCACCAAAGCTGGGAGTTGATCAAAACTGGGGGATTTTTGGCCATTTTTGGCCAACTTCCAATTCAACCAGCTACAGACTGGAATGCAAAAAAAACCTGTCCATCATCGCTTAAAATACCAAGCTTTGTAGCCGACAATCAAGTCATTAGCCCAAACCTCCAGGGAACCAACAGTTGACGAAAAGAATCACCATGTGGACCATGTGGAATATCCTCTGGTAAACAAGCAAAAAGCTATTGAACATGGCCCATTTAGTTCGTGGATTTACCCATTATATAATAGCATGGTGATTTTCCCATAGTTATGTTAGTTTACCATGTGGAATACCAAAAATGTTTCTTTGGCTGCATTTCAGTGACCCCATTCTATGGGGACAGTGTCTCAGTCAAGAACTGGTCGCTCAAGAAACTGAATGGCTCAGGCCGCGAAACGGTGTCAGATATGTTCTTTCTTGTTGCTTCCACGTCCTTTTTCTGCAGCCCAGTTGAGATTCGCAGAAACCCTGTGGCCCGTCATTGTTGAAATCGCAACAATGCTGGTTCCCATTCAGTTGGTATTTCCTATATGGAAATCCCCCGCCTGAAACGGGATCCCCATGGATCCCCCATGGGTTTCCCCAAAAAAACATCTACCCAACCTGGTTATGACGAACATAGCGAACTGGAAAGATCCACCATGCAAAAAAAGAACGGTAAACCATGGTAAACCATCTATTTCTATGCGCCATCGAAAAACCATGACTATGTTAGTCATAACCAGAGGGTATATGGGTATGGATCAATACCTATTAATACCATTTTTAGGGGAATGAACATCCATTTACCAGCTATTTTGATGTTCACCAGGGGTACAAGGTTTTGACACACTGCCATATCCCAACACCCCAACCCAATTCTGACCAAGCCGCCCTTCCTTTCTGCGCCTGCCGGAGTGGTGTGTTTTCACTCGCCATGGCGCTGGAAAATTCGCCGCTCCGCGCTGCCCGAGCCGTTGATGCTGCCGGGGCCCAAGGACGCAACGTGGGACCTCCATAGCTGGGTTTGTTTCGAAGTACAGTAACTGGGCTTCATGATAAAATCAGAATAGTAGATCTTGTTAATCCATTATTAACTAGGCTTCATGGTAATCAATATTATAATCCCATTATAAATCCATTATAGTTGGATGGGCTTATAAACCAACAAACATCACATTTGGGAGCCCCGCTTTGTAGGTGCTTTGTTGATCCCTGCCAAGTTGGTTGAACTTTCTGTGGGCGGGAAATCCGTCTAACTAAAAACACAAGGAAAAGCATTCAGATGATGATCCATTCATTTTGGGGTTCAGAATTCATGAGAAGTATATATATATGCCACCAGGATGAGAATGCAATAAAACTTATGATGGATTGTCGGGGCTGAGAAAAAACAAATCATGGAATCAAAGGGAGAAGTGAAGAGCTGCTTCGTTTCCAGCACACCGGGAATAGAAGCAACAATATCTGTGTATGAAGAGCCCTTTTCAGAGAATGTTTATCGAATAATGCCAGGCTACGGCTACGGCCTTTCGTCAGATCTGATTCTTGGGGTAAGTTTCTGCCCCAGCACGAAACACGGTGGCGTCCAACTCTGATGACAATGATCACAAAGAGTGGGACATAGGACAAGCCAATTACAAGTACCAAATGTTCTGACCATTTGTCCATCTAAGGGCCATTGAAATCTGTCCAAAACCAGCTCCTATGATCTTCTGTATCTGCCCTCGAGGTCGAAACATCCGAGAAAACAATCGTTTTAGGTGCAGATGATCACAGTTCTCTCATTGAACGTCAGCAAAAAATCAACTAACCAATCAACACCTTGAAACTGGGATGATTAACGGATTCCCCAAAAAAAAACTTCCGTTTAGAACTGGAAATGTATGGCATATCTGAAAACATAAATATATCGATCATCCACCTTCCCAGCAGGATCATTTGGGGTGGAAAAAACCGGTGTACCCGAAATGGTAAACAGACAAAAAACGATGGGAAATCACCATGTTTCATGGGAAAATTCACTATAAATGGTGATTTTCCATCGTTTTTTGTATGTCTACCAGGCCGGGTAATTGGCCCATTTCCGCACAAACCCCATGTAAAAAATGGCAAAACCCTCCACGAATCCAACACGGCCATTGGAAAATCCACCGTTCATTGGGGGTTTTCCCATTACAACGCCGTTTTTTAAACGAGGATGTGACAAAATGCCACGTTTGTTTCTCCCAGGATTTTTCTGGGACATTTCGAAATGCTCAGATCCCACGTATCGAAAAAAACGGAACTCGTCCAGTTGAAGCGCCGAGTCTCAGCCGTTTTCGCCAGGACGACAGGTTCCATGGTCAACGCGGGGGTGGCTCGCTCGGCTCGTTTCGTTTGGGGGTGTTTTTTTCGCCTTCTGCATCCAGAAATGATGCTGGGAAGAAAATGATGCGATTGGGTGCCAAAATATGTTCGGCTGGGGGTTCTCTAAAAAACTGTTTCCAGGGGACAACTTGGAAAGCCAAGGCAGAATCCGATGATTACTCCCACCAGTGGAGTCCGGGTTTCGATTTTCCTAGCTGGGGGGGGCTGACCACCACCGCTGGGACGTTGTGAGAGGTTGGTTCATGAATCATTCCCACAAAGTGGGGCCCCCGTTTACGATAGCTAAGTTGGTGAACATAACTCCAATAACTATGGTTTATGGTACTTATAACTATAGTTACTGGGGCTTATAAACCAACTTATAGCTGGGGGGCCCACATTGAAGAAACATCGGCAAACCACCTAGCTCGACTTTAGTAGCACATTTTTTGTCTACTTCCTAAGACAGCTTCCTAAGACGCCCTTTGGAAATCTTTGGAAGGACCCGGGTCATATCATTTTATAGGGGAAATTTGCGAGGAACCAGACAAAAACATAGGGATTATATAAGAATTGTTCTTTTGTCGTTTCATAAGGAATAAGTGTGGACCTTACAGACTAGAGTCTATAGTTAATTGAATTTTCTGGTTTCTAGTTGGGTTTGGGGAGACTATCCCCAGATCTTCAAATCCCCTGAATCCAGTTCCGGTTCCAGAGCCAATGGCAGGTCGATCGATCTCGGATGGGCATCCCAGTGATTGAATGGGATGAATGATGGTACAATCAATGGTGATTTAGTATAGGATTTCACGGATTTTATGGTGACTTAATGGAATGTATATATTATATCATGGTGATATTATGGTGATTGAATATATTTGATGATGATTCGATTGGATTTTGTGGTGATTTAGCGGATTTAATAGGATGTTATGGTTTAACAGGATTTAGTGGGATGTTATGAAAGATTCTAATGGGATTTCTGGTGATTACTGGTGAATTTGACCAACAAAAATTGCGATGAGAAATACCCTCTGGTAATGTAACAGTTCGCTATGAAAGCCATGAACCATTTAGTTCGATGATTTGGTGTATGCAAAAATGGTGTACCAAAAAATAGGTTAAATGTGGTGTTTAGCATGAATCGGATTCCATCACCTATTCTGTCGACATCCCTTTTCGTTGATTCAGAAGGCATTTCGTACGAAATGCCCACTGGTGCTGCTTCAATTTGATAATTTCATGAACACTCATGGGGAACCAACCAATCCCCCTAAAGGTGCCCCCAAAACAATAGATTAAGGGATTCGCGCTTTTTCAAGCCCAAACAATTGGGTTTTTCGTCCCCTCCAAACTCACCTCGTCCACTTTTCCGAGACATGGCTTGCCGCATCGTCCGAGTCCAAAAGTGGACTGGACGCCCAAGAGATTTTTTGTCCGACACTCAGACCCGTGGGGATCGCACCTCCCTGTGTTGAGGCTACAAGATTGAAGCACCACTGTAACCCAGCACTGGTTGTAGTTACATACAGTTGTACCCTCTGGTAAACTAACATAGCTATGGAAAATCACCATGTTTAATGGGTAAATCCACTATAAATGGCCATTTTCAATAGCTATGTTAGTTTACCAGAGGGTATATCAAATTGCGCCCATCGAAATATCTGTATCGTGTCAAGGAATCAGATCTTTTATGTATACACTGGCCCTGCAGCGCATCACCACTATGAAAGTCTCAGTCATTTTGGGAGGCTAGGCATGTAGCTATGTAGGTCATGAGGCCAAGGAACCAATGCACAGTGAGACAAGCTGAGCTTTTTTAAAAAGAGCACAGTGGACTGACGAATTCGTATCCCAATCTATATCTGGTTGGTGGTTTTAACCATCTTGAAAAATATTACCCTCTGGTAATTTAACGTAGCTATTGAAAATGACCATTTATAGTGGATTTTCCCATTGAAAATGGTGATTTTCCATAGTTATGTTAATTTACCAGAGGGTAGTCAATGGGAAGGATTATCCCATATATTATGGAAAATATAAAATGTTTGAAACCACCAACCAGATATGTTATGTATGTATACCCTCTGGTTCTTTCACATGGTTATGGAAGCCATGGCCCATTTCGTTATAAAATTTATAAGTTAGAATGAATTTGCCCACTAAGAATTGTGATTTCCATAGCTACGTTGAATGACCAAAGGATATATGAATCATCATTCCAGGTCTCAGTGAGGTCATTTTACCCTCTGGTTATTTACAATAGCCATGGAAAATGGCCCATTTATAGATGGTTTACCTATTAAAAATGGTGATTTTCCATGGCTATGTTAAATAACCAGATGGTAAGTCATTCAAATATACGTTGTTGTGTTAGCCTTTTTTTTGCCTCAGAAAATTCTGGCACCAAAAACACAACCGAGGATCGCCCCGCCATGTTGGGAAAACCAATAAATCTAATTTAGGGGCATTGCCTTCTGCTGGTTGACTAGGATAATTCAAATATGGGTCACGACAATTCCCTTTCAAGCTGAATATGTGGTAAATCCAAGCATAAACCAAACGACTTTTACCAAATCTTGCCATGGCTACAAAGACCAGACGCGTTTGAGGTAGGGTGGTCACTCTTGGGTTCACCACATGACTGTCGGGTCCCAGGGTTGACATGGCATGACATGGCATGACATGGCAAGGAGAGCTTCAACCAGCACGGTACAGAGCATCGTACCGGAGCCCTGTCTGGCCCTTGCACTGTGAAGTAATCTGGTTGCATCATGGTAGCCATGACAAGCAGTGATTAGTCAGATGTTTCCTACATTGATCAGGAAATCAACAAATCCATCAGCAATGATGGGTGTCACGATTTGAATACAGAAATCATGTAAGAACTACTGTAAATAGTTCAAATCTACGAGCTTTTGTGGATCGACTGACCAGAAAAATCAGTATAATCAGTAAAGTTAACAATAAAAATTGCATACAACCACATAAAAATCATAAAACACCCATGATGTTTTGGATTGCTACACCCTGATGTGGGCAAAGCGTAATGGATGTTGATCCCACCCATGAACAAAAACAGGGTGGTTGGTTCAACCTGTATAGTAAATCTGAATGGTTGTAAGCCGTTTTCTTGTGGGAGAAACACCGTCCCTATGATATATATATATAGTTATAACTATAACTATAATTATAGTGCAATGGTCAAAACACACAGTATACGGGCTATGGTCATCTATCCCATATTCGCCATATTCGGAATCCTTTTTTTATGCGTATATAAATACATAAATCATCATAAATCCCTATGAATGGACCGATGATCGTCCCCTTTTATGTAAATGCAATTCATGTTTTGACCATAGCACGATATAGCACGTGTTAGGTGACGCTTGTGCATCCAAATGCCAGAAAACCCACATGACTTGGTTATAAACCACCTGAGCTAAGTATGGGACACCACCTGGGATTCTAACCTTTACAGCTGAATTACCATCTGGTTATGACTAACATAGCCATGGAAAATCCCCAAAATAAATGGAGGTTTCGTTCGCTGGGTAAATCATCTATTTCTATGGGCCATCTATACCATGGCTATGTTCAATAACAAAAGGGTAATGATGCT